TCAAGCAACTTACTATTACATATTTCATGGACTTTAGGTTTTCATTTTAGAATCTCTGAAATCAGTATGTCTTACCTTTGATTGCATCTTAACAGAGTAGCAGGGAAAACCACGCCAATGCTTGCAGTGCTGTTGCGCTGGGTGCTGACGTGGGTGCTGAACTGGGTCCTGCGTAAACACTTATACTCAGTGGGGCAGCATTGAACCCAGGGCTTGAGAACAGCCAGCAATCCAGAGATGCAGGTCATGTGGGTCTCCTCACTCAAGTGCTGCATGGATGGGTGGGGGACAGAGCTCTGGCTCAGAGACTGTGATGCAGTGTGGTGGGGACCATCAGAAAGCAGTGGCTAGGGTGTTAGGGTTCAGAGAGGACAGGATCTTCCAGGACCCTCGAGGAGAACCCTGGAGCAGCCCTGGAGCCGTGGTGTGGAGGGTGGCAGGTGGTTCACCTGGCAGGAGAGTAAGGTGAGAGTGAGGAGGAAAGGTCTCAGAGCACCACCTGGGAGTTTCGGCTGAAAGTGGATCACAATTGCACATTCAGGACTGTGGCCTTCATCTTTTGTGTGTCTGGAAGTCTTTTATGTTGGGGATTGTTAAGATTTGCATTTTAGAAAGATGCTGTAGGAAGAGGTGAATTGGGGGCTGAGGGATCCAAATCTGGACCCGGAGGATGGGTAACAGGTTGGAGCAGTGGCACTAGAGACACGAGGCAGCGGCAGTGAGGATGGAAGGGAGGCACAGGCTCCAGCTGTACTGGCGAGGTCCAGATGACAGAATGTAGCCATTTGCTGGGAGTGAGGCGAGGCTTGGGAGGAAATGAGTTTGTTTTGGCTTTGTGGGGCTTGAGAAGACTCATATGGGTTGCCACCCACGAATGGACGTAAATGGATAGAAACATGGGTGCGGAATTGAAGAGTATTGCCCTGGAGGGAGGTCTGATGACGTCAGCAGTGGGCATCAGGGAGTCAGTGGGCTGGCCCAGGAAGAGGCTGGGATGAGCAGAGAGCCAGGGTCATGGTCCTGGGACAGTCAGCTGCCTCCGGGAAGCTGAAGGAGTGGCTTAAGAGTGACAGACAGGGCTGCATGCGTGCGGCCCGGTTTCGATCCTCAGCACCACATACCAACAAAGATGTTGTGTCTGCCGATAACTAAAAAATAAATAAATAAATATTAAAAAAAAAGAGTGACAGACAGCATGGAAGGGTCACCTGGGAGGGTCAGTGGTATCCATGTATTGCATCTGGGATTCTTGGTGTTGTTGAGTAGTTTCAGTGGAACTGGATGGGGGGCAGGTAGCGTCCCGGCTGCAATGATTTGGGTATGGATTCCAGGTAGCAAGAGCAATTGCAATCAAAGGTGTTGCCTAGCCTTGCAAGAAATGAGGCTACAAAAGTAGAGAGAAAGGAGTCTCTGATAGCAGCCATTTGTTTGCCAGACTAAAGCCTCCTAGCGCCTCTGTTATGAATGTGTTTCTCTGTTTGCAGAGCGGAACATTCTCAAACCCTGCAATTCCTTAATTTTCTCGAGGTGGAAGCTTTTGCTTTGTTTGTGATTTAAGCACTATAAAATGCCCAGTTACAGCTAGCTGCAAGAATGTAAGTTCTGCTTCTTATATTCTTCCAGAAGCCATTACCTTTGAAGTTGTTTGATATACTTTAAAGAAGCAAACCCTCAACAAAACCTAAAGTTGGGAAATTGAAATTCTAAAGAGATTTAGCTTGTTTATGAGAAAGTAAAAGATAATGAGAAGACGCAAGTTGATAAGCTCAGGTTATGCTTAACTGCAAGTAATTTTGTGAAAAATTTCTCCTTTCTCTTGTAATACAGACTTAACAGAAAAAGCGAGAGTGCTTGCAGGTAATGAGTGTTCTGGAATTGCTTTGAATTGAAGTTAGTGGGTGTTGGAACAAATAAATACCAAACAACTTGTGCCTTAGTTTTATAGGCACTCATAAATTGAATTTGGCAGTAATTCTGGAAAAGTGTGCGGAGAATCATGAATATTCATTTATTCTACAAAGTTTTAGTAAGCACCATGAGTACATGCCTTTGCTAGATCATGTAGGAGGTGAGCCAATGGGACTTGAGTCAGGACTCTCTTACTTATGGGGGGAAGATGACCTAGAGAAGTCTGATGGGAGAGGGCGGGCAGCAGGTAGGGTTTAGGGTGGGCTTCTTGGGAGAGGTGGTATTTGAGCTCTTTGCTGAGATACACATTTGTCCTCAGATGAGGCCATTTCGTGTAATGTCCTTGACTTCTCTCTTTCTGGAAACTGTTCTGTCATTTGGTTTTCTATGCTGTGGCTCAACGGCAGCTCTGTCTCTGGGCAGTCAGAACTTCTCATGGTTCTGTACACCGTAGGTCCCTGTTCCTTTTTCTCACTTCTCCTTCAGAGATGTCATTTGCTGCGGTGGTTTTGAATATTCACCTACACAGGTAACCCTGGAAGGGCGATGTGTGGGAAAAGCTGGTTTGTTTTTGGTACTGGGGATTGACCCCAGGGCCACTTAACCACTGAGCCACATCCCCAGCCTTTTTTGTATTTTATTGAGAGACAGGGTCTCGCTAAGTTGCTGAGGGCCTTGCTAAATTGCTGAGGCTGGCTTTGAACTCATGATCCTCCTGCTTTGGTCTCCTGACCCACTGGGATTACAGGTGTGTGCCACTGCACCCGGTGGAAATGCTGTTTGAAGACACCTGCGTGTAGTGCAGGAGGGCTGGAAGGGAGGGCAGGTCACCTCAGGAGACTGCAGGAGTCTAGCTGTTATGTTTTTGTCTTTCCCCTGACTCACTCAACCATGGGGCTGCCAGGTTAAGTTTCTCAGTCACAACTTTGATCATACTGCTCTGCTCAGATGCCACCAGATCACCTGACATGTTGGGCTGTGGCCAATACTTCTGCCAGTGGCAGTGGCCTTCCTATTTTCATGCACTACAACTCCAGTGGTGGCATTTTGAACATGATAGTATTTTTTGGCCTTCACTTTTGTTTGAACCTGTCCAAACAGCCAAGGAAATCATGGAGGGTGCTCAGGACTCAGGGGAATGACAGAGTTGAGGAGCCCTGTTTCCCCACAGGGGTGGGCACTATACATTTGAATGGGTACATTTGGGAATAACTTGTTTTTTCCTGCTGTCCTTGTCCCTTCAGTAGGTGGATTTTTGCCGATCACCAGGAAGGTGGGAATTTCCTCTTAACTATGTCAGACCATGGATTCCCAGCTCCACCCACACTGGGGTCCTTTTCCCACAGGCAATAATATGGTTCTGCTGTCTCAAGAAACCTGTCCCTGAAAACCCAGGATACCATGCCAACTATGTTTGACCCCAACTTTCCAGAAGTTAAAAATAGATGCCTCTATGCTGTTGAGTGGGATCACAAAACTCAGCAGAAGCAAAAGGTATCAGAAAGGTAATAGCAAGCACCCATATCAACCACGACCAGAAGGTAGGAAGGCTGGCCAGGAGTATGTGATGTTCTTTAGGTGAGGCTGTGGGTCCTGAGGGTTCCAGGTCATTTTCTTCCTGCTCTGGGGTTGGGAAGGTGATGGGCACTAGAGGGGTTGGCCTGATGGGTGACGGTGGCTCCAAACTTCCATCTGGTGCACGGCTTCTCCAGTAACATGAAACCTTATTAACTGTAAGGGGTGATAATTGGAGCAACGAAGTTGGCTGAAATCTCCTTCTATAGCCTCCCCAAAAGAACAGAAATTAGTAATAAAAACGAGAGCTGAGAGTGTTCAGAAGAGCAAACACAGCTAAGCTCTCAGCTCCTATAGAAACATTTGTATGGAAACAGCTGACCTGCTAATTAGAAAACATTCCTGCCTATTCATTAAGCCAATTATCCTGAGGAATTCTGCTAAGCAACACTTAGTCTAGTGCTAATTATTGCATGGCCTTGAAAGCAATAAACTGTGCTTCCAGAATAAAAATTTTTAACTTAGGCATAGGCATGGCTTATTCAGACATTGCTATAATCAGAGTGGGATGGAATGAGGGGCTACCCTCTGATTCTTATGGAAAGGGTGGTCCACCTCTTTGTAGGAGATTATAATGAATTACTAGGCTATGCATGATTCCATCTAAGGAGTCCTTGCAGATCATCCTTGTTTAGATATGAGTTTTCAAGAAAGGCTGTCTTTTCTGATTGCTTTGGCTCTAACTTTTTGAATTTTTTACTTAGGGAATGGACAGGTGGTAAAGCTTTTTTTTTTTTTAAACATAAACTGAGTGATCACATTTGAGTAGAAATGAGGCGAATCATTTTTCATGCAGCACAATAAACTTCTAACCGTTAATGCAGCACCGTTAATGCAGCTGAAGGTGCACCAGTGTCCTCGGTGCCTGCCGAGGGCAGCCTCTGTGCAGGGAGCTGACCTGGGCCAACATGCCCTGCTTGGCCCAGGACGGCTGAGCTTTGTGTTTAGGGGCATGTGCCCGAGCTGGGTGGCATTGGGCAGTCAGGTGCCTCATGGTGTTTCAGTCTCCTCTGTGAATGGGGGACAACAGCCCGACTCCGAGGCCCAGGAGGCTGGATGAGCCCCTCCGTGAAGGTGTCTTACAAGGTAGGCTCCATCTGCTCTGCACCCCTCAGCCCTACCTGCAGCCCCTCTGCGGGGCTGCTGAAGAGCTGGGGTGGGTGTCCTGTCTGCCAGTGGGAAGAGATGGACCACAAAGAAGCAAACAGGTTATCAAATCCAGGTAGTGAAACTGTTAGACCACAAGAGGGAGGGCCCAAGTTGGGGGGAAGTCAGCAATACCCAGGGTGCGTGGAAATGGATGCAGAGAGGATGGCCCTTGAGCTGAGGCCTGAATTAGGAGATAAATTTTCAGTTCCTTAAAAAAAGCAAGTTTTTTTTGTGTGTTGGTGGTTCCCTCTTGTTCTTGTTTTAAAATCTCTCACCCTTTTGACAGGGCTCCTCTGGGAGGGCTGAGACCCTGCACCAGCCCTCATCCCTGTTTAGTCAAGTCAAGATGGCCTCATGTGTCTCCAGACTCACCGGGGCAGTACCCAGATCTGCCCTACCTGGGGCACCCCTCTGGTGGCCCCGGCTGCATGGTCTCCCCCCTGGTTCTGTCTCAGTCTCTGCAGGAACTTGACTCTGTTGCTCCCCAACAGGAAGTACAGGACGGGGTTGAGACAGCTGCTCATGCTCACCAGTGGCCTCCAGATCTTGGAGGCCAGGCTGGCCGCTATCAAGAGCTGGCAGTTCTGCAAGCGCAGGAAGCGGATGGCCAGGTAGAAGGAGCGGGCAACGTGGAAGGGCACGAAGCAGAGGGTGAAGAGGCCGCACACTAGCAGGATGGTCCGCATGGACTTGGCCCGGGCTGTGCCGCCTGTCCTCTCGAGGGTCTCCTCTGGCATGGCCAGGCTCCTGAGCATCAGAGAGTAGCACACCAGGATGACCCCTGAGGGAAGGACGAAGCCGGACAGCATCAGTGCCATGCTGTAGGAGAAGTACTCATCGAACTTCTCGGGGTTAGTCGTGTCATAGCAGATGGTCTGGCCGTTGATGTGGTCTGTGTGGGAGAAGGCCAGTGTGGGCAGCAGCTGGAGGACCACCAGGGCCCACGAGGCTGCAGCGCCCAGCCGGGCGTGCCGGGGGGTGCGGTAGGGCAGCGATCGCAGCGGGTGGCACACACCCAGGAAGCGGTGCACAGAGATGCAGGTGAGCAGCAGGATGCTGCTGTAGATGTTGCAGTAGAAGAGGAAGCGCACAAGCCGGCAGAGCAGCTCCCCGAAGGGCCAGGCGTCGTCCAGGCAGTAGGTGGCCACCAGGAAGGGCAGCGTCAGCACGTAGAGCAAGTCGGCCACCATCAGGTTCACCAGGTAGGTGGTGGCACAGCTCCAGGGCTTGGTTTGGTGCCAGCAGAGCCACAGGACAGTGCCATTCAGGGGCAGCCCAAGGAGGAAGATGGCGCTGTAGGTCACGGGAAGGTAGACTTGCTTGTAGTCCTCTGAGTACTGGCAGAGACCCGGTTCCCTCGAGGCATTTGAGCCCAGCTTCTCCATCCCTGGGGAGGTCCCTCCAGGAGCATGTGTGTGCCCTGGGGGAGACAGTGGATAGCACAGCATCATGACCTCTGCTGGCCTCATGTCTGCCTGACCTGGGGTTCAGCCCTGCTCCCAAGTCCCCTCGCAAACCCCTTGGGGCACAGCCAGCTCCAGGGAGGAGAGTGAAACCCGAAGGCAAGACAGTCCTGAAAATCAGGGTCTGGACTTACCAGGAAACTTGCTGAAGCTCTGCTCCAGGCTGGGTCGAGATAGGAAGGTCAAATGACCTGGGAAAGAGGGGCTGTCATTTAAAGGGCACACCGAGCTGCCCGTTCTGTAGCTCCTCCTCCTGTCGGACCCTTTGCATAGTCAGGAAGCTCGGAGGGGGCTTCAGCAGGAGAAGCTGGGACAACCCAGGGGCGATGCTGCCGGATCAGGTGCTCACCTTGGGCCCCTGTGCAACGGATGGCTGGTCCCTGGTGCCCAGCGGGAGGGGAAGCCTGTAGGCTCTGCTGGGTCTCGATTTGTATTCCTTTCAAGATTTATTAACTGCTATTTGAATACTGAGAATGATTTGCTTATTAACCGTCTCAGCCTCCTGGACGTCTAAGAAAACAACTTGGAGGCACGAAGCCAGGTGCAGCTTGTCTCTTATCCCCATCCCTTATAACAGAGCAGGTCCTGTCAGTGAGCCTGGGTGGCAGTGGGGACCGTGTGGAGGAACCCCATTTTTCTGTCTTACAGCCCTGAAGTCAGTGTTCTGGTTAGCCCATCAGCATGGAGCCCTTGGGAATCCAGAGAAGTTTAGTTCTAGGACTGGACATTCAGGAGGACAGTCAAAACCAGGGAAGGGAGAGCAGATGCAGAGGCACATACTGGAGGCTGAGGCAGGAGGTCCATTGAGCCCAGGAGCTCAGGCCAGCCTGGACAACACAGAGAGACCCTGTCTCAAAACAAACTACCAAACACAAAGGAATGGGGACTTCGCTGAAAGTCAACCAATAGTTATTGAACATTTATTTAGTCAGACAACTGGGGATATAAAGATGAATAAGACACAGCCCTGCTGTCCAGAACCTCCCAGTCTTTTGGGGACGATAAGAACAGGCATAGCTAATTGTAAGATGTGGGAAATGGTCAATGAAACGCCGTGGAAACAGGACACAGCCAGTTCTTCTCAAGGGCACGGAGTGAAGGCTGGTTAGAGAGGGCCTCCTGGAGAAGGCTGGCTGGAGTGGACCTCCTGGGGCTCCTGGAGAAGGGAGAGGAGCCTATGAGGCAGAGGAGAGTGAGGGGCATGGAGTGTGGGGCACATAGAAGGGATGGGAGCTGAAGGGTTCAATGTGTGCTGGGGGTGGTGGGGACCAGCTTTGGAATGAAGCCCCCTCATGTTTGTGAGCAGGACCATGGTGGGCTGGGCTGGAGTGACGGGTGAATGGAGTCCTGGCTGGCTCAGGGGCACCTGGGAGGAGCGTGGTTCCTGGGTGCATCTGAGGTGCTGCCACGTGAATCAGGGGACTGAGGAGGACCCTCCCTCAGCCATGTGGGGGCACCATGTGATTGGCTGAGGGAGAATGAACTACTTTTGTGTGGAGCTTGGGATGGAGCCCAGGGCTTGGTGTAAGCTAAGCACACACTTCACCACTGAGCTGCATCCCCAGCCCTTGGAGAACTTTCTTTAACAAATGAAGCCATTTAGTGGAGTCTCATAAATGTCATCAACCAGTAAATTTGTTTTTACAAGTTTTTGTTTTGCAAAAATCATTGATATACATTTATCCGTATATATATATATATATATATATATATATATATATTTATATGTTAATATATGCCTACATTTTTTGATACCCATTTACCTGTGTATTTACTTGGCATATATACATTTCTTAATTTACAAATATGAATCAGAAAACCAATAACATCACAACATTATTTTATTTTTAATGGGTTTTTTAAATGGAGGCCCCAGGTACATTCAATGAGGATTGGATTACAGGAGCAGGTGCTTTACTTTGAGTTGGTTTTCTTGTTTCAAATCCAGGAGATGATATGCTGCTATTTAGCACTGACCACTGGGTGGTGGTAAAGACCACAGACGGGCTGTAGTTCTTTCCCAGTGCAAATGGACCTGGGTGAGCTGTGGATTAAAGGGACTTGGGGAGGACACAGGGAACTGCCCCCCCACCCCGCCTGTTTGCAGTTACTGTCAGGTTCACCAGGAGAGAGAGTCACAGCTAGAAAAGGTCCCTCAAAAACCCTGATGGAGGGGTGCTGAGAAACTGCAGTTCAGGGAGGTCAGGCAGAAGCCCCGTCTTGGGTGACTGAGGGAAAGCCTGGACTTTTTATCAAACAAAAATTTAGCAAAGTGCAAGATTTCCAGGGAATGTTTTCTAACCTACCTGCCCCACCCACTGCCCCCCCCCAAAAGTAAGATTTGGAAATAAAAGGGCAAGTCAAGCCTCAAGTTGCCCGAGCACTGCTTTCATGATGGAGGACAGAGCCCCCCTTGAAGGCTGGCTTTGGAGATCACGTGAGAAGAGGGAACAGAACCCAGAGGTCCCCCTCGTTTTTGGTTTCACACCTGAGGTCTGGCTTCCTGTGCTTGGCTGCAGTTCAGAAACTTCAAGTGGAAGATTCCTTTAGCAGCAGTTCACGAGTTTCCAACTGCGTGGTCCTGCCAAGTGTGAAGGAGCCCTTGCTGTCCTGCCCTGTCCTGCGAGTCCTCCTCTGCAGGGCTGTCCTCCCTGCCCTCAAGGGCTTGTGTTCAAGGCTCCCTCCTGTCCTTGACAATGTCCCCAGTCACACACTTCCACCCCAGAGTGTTGCTCTGATTGTTCTGTCATTGCGCTGCTGATCTCTACTGGGCTTGATTTGTATCTGAGACGTCATCCGAGGCTCGAGTGTGTAGGAGCAGTGTGGAGAGGGCAGATGACCGCCACAGCTTCAGGCCTCGACAGGGTCCTGAACACATGCCCACAGATGAGAGGGACTGCTGAGCACAGAATTGTCTAAAGACAAGAGAGCCCTTCCTGCCCCTCCTGACCCATGCCTTCCGGCTGCTTCTGTCATTTCTCTACCTCATTGCTTCTGTCTCCAGATTCTGCTTTCTGATTCTCCCTTCCCTCTGGGCACCCTTTGGCTTCTGCTCCTGCTATAGATTTCTAACTCTGCCCGGGAATCAAAGAAACTCTCCCGGCACTGTTGGCTGCGCATTCCCCAAGGGTCCTGCCTCGGAGTGGTGGCAGCAGCCAGGCCAACTTGGCTGGCCCTTCCGAGGGCCTGTGGCTGGTGTGATGGTCAGGAGGTGGGAGCAGGCCCACACTTGGTGGAGGAATAGTTAGGGCTGCTCTCCCTGAAGGGTCTTCTGGAGACTCACCTGGGTCCCTCTGAGAACAGAGCATCAGAAAGACGTGCTGAAGAGAATGAATTTCATTTCACCCCCCTTTCCTTCAATAGTTTCTAAAATATAAGCTTGCTTTCTAAAACACCTAATAGGACTTTCTCAGGACTGTTGAACAAGTGTGGATGTAACATATAAGCTAGTCTCCAGTGCAAAATTTCATTTGTTAATTGTGTACCAGTCAGAGATATTTTGTTCATGTGTACACCACAAGTGTGAGTTGACAGTCCTATTAATGATGGTAGGCAGTTATGTATGTTTATGGTAAAAGAACAAAGAGGATATTTTTGAATCTGATTAGACACAAGACAAAATAAAAGCAGGAGTTGTGGAGAATGAAAAATGGGTCTTGATTTCATGTTTAGTACGACAGCTAGAGGCTAGTCCACAGTGAAACACAGGGAAGGGGACTTATTTAAACACAGGCTCGTGTATTAAAATCTTCACAGATTTATTTTCATGCCAATGTGTTCTGACATAAATATGGTAATCTATAATGTATCGACCATGAAGTCAACAGTATTTTTACAGCTGACTCAGGGAAATCAAAACCTCATTGTTCATGCTGATCTATGTGGTGTTACCCTGTGGAAGTTAACCTCTCTTGTCCTGCTCCCAACTCAGCTACTAAGAGGAATGCATTTCGGTGGCTACGGACCTTTTGTGCATGTCTTGTTTCTGGCCATATCAACTGCAGTGGGACTGTTGTGGTGTGATGTGGAGATCGGTGCACACCCAGCACTCCTAGAAAAGACTGCCAGGAATGAGAGCCAACCAGCAAAAGCCTTTGCCTTTCTGAGGTTCAAAGGCCTAGGAAACTCTCCTGGAAACACCATGAGCCCATCCCTTGGACCTTGGGCCAACAGTGAGAGCAGAAGTGGGACAGAGTCCCCGGGACTGAGAGGACACACAGAGGCACTGTGGCATGGAGTCCCCTGGGTGGAGAGGGCACACAGACATGTGGCATAGAGTCCCCTGGGTGGAGAGGGCACACAGACACGTGGCACAGATTCCCCGGGGCAGAGGGGCCACGTGCAGACACTGGTGGAGAGCCCCGGAGTGGAGTGGACCTGTGGAGACACTGTCACTGTGCTTGATCACAGAGGGGCTCGGCAGGATTTCCAGGGTAGGTGCCGCTTGCTGAGTAGGTGCTGCTCGCTGCCATAGCAGCGATGTGGCCTTCATCCAAATGGCTATGGGGAGGTGAAGAGGGAGGAGAAGAGATTCGTGGCTAGCAAGATGGGAGAGAATGCTGATGAACCCAGGAGACTGGGGGTGCTTCTCCTCTACTGCAGCACAGAGGTGTCTGTGGAACACAGTACAACACTGAGACTTTAGAGTAGGGGTTGCTGGTGCCAGGCAGGCACTGTCACTATAGATGCAGGGACTGCTGACCCCCAAGGAGTTGGGTGAGGAACCTGCCCAAGATCTCAGCTGGTGGCTGGATTCCAGATCCTGGTTCTCTGTCCAGGGCTCCTTGTGTTCCACATGATCAAAGAGAAGCCACTTTGGAGCGTGACCCAGCTACACTGAGAGGCTGCTCTGGTCAAGGCTCCTAGGGGCTCTGTGGTCAAGTCCTTTGGGACTCTGCTGATTTGCCTGAGCCTCTGTCAGC